ACTCTTTCCAATCCCATGTCAACTTATTGATCACTCTCTTCCTCGGATGTCCATATTATTTACAATTTATACTATACAATTTAACATTTATGTATGAATCTACCTTATCAATTTAATCATCGACTCAAACATGTCAGTCTTTGCTCTCAACCTAGAGTTTATACTGCTTGCGTTTAAAGATTATGTCTTTTCTTTGGACAGTCGTTTGAATTTCTAACTTAGTTCTGGTTGAAAACATTATGGATAATTAATAGAGGCTGATGGGTTCCTATCAGTTCCTAAATAGAGCTTAGTTCTTCAATTGGAACTTTAGTTCTAGATTTCAAGGTGATTCACCTTTTTAGTGATCATACATGACAGAAGATTTTTTAAGTATATTTTTGGTATACTTTTGCATTTAACATTTTTAAAAACCACCTTTCAGATCAGAAAAAAAAAAGAACAGCCTTCTGATCTTAGCAACCTCAAGCATTGGGCCCTGAAATTCAAGGAGTGCTAATTCCTGGCTCTCCAACAAGTCCATCAACTTGGCATTACTCAGAATATCTTTAGTCATGAACTCATTCCTGATACACAGTCAGTCACATCACAGAATGTTTAAAGTACCCAGATGCCCCCAGCATTCCACATGTCTGTTCTGGAATGTTTCTCAGCACCCCCACCTTATAATTGCTCTGGCTCTTTGGCTGGAATAGACCTGTCAACAAATATGGACTTGACTCAGTCAGCCAAATTTCAGGCCGCTGACGTCATTCACACACTCACCTCCGTCCTCCTTTCTTGGAAAGTGGCCATCTCTGAGAAAATACGTGTCTTTCCTCAACTGCTTTTTTCATATCTCCTGGAGAATAAGATGCTTGTCCTTGGCTGAAGTTACTCTACTGGACTCTAATTTCCTCAGAGAAGAAAGCAAAGAAACTGGAAACGACAGAACAGATGACTGTGGTCCTAGTTCATCTCTTCCCCTGAACCTCTCCAGAGCAACTAGGATGATAGCAAATGATGAAATGAATAACCAATCACTGCCACTTGTAGTGGACTTCCTCCTCATCAAAGTCAATGTTCTTGTTTCTTTTCCCAGAATTACATCATTTGAGAAAAACCTGTGTAGAATCGTAAAACCACGTATATGGTATTTATTTATCAAGTTAATTTCTACAGAACTTTAAAAGTTGGTTCTAAAGCTAACGTTTTTGTTATCTTTTAGTTTTTCCTGATTAGAGGAATTTGTGATTTTAGTTTCTACAAAGTTAGGCACCTGCAATTATTGTTTAAATGGTATCTAGGATACTGTTTCTTAGCAGCCTTATGACAGTTACTGAGAGAAAAATACATGATTCTACACTCCACTGATAGGAGTCTAATAGGCAGAGAGAGGGACTATGGTTCCATTAGAGTCAGCCCTGGTGGAACCTGTAATTCCATTCCAAAAATCCAAGGAATAGTGACAAGGTAGAAGGGGAGAGGCAAGATGGTGGGACTGTTAGGCCATTAGATGAGGCAGGAAGAAGAGGAAATGTCTAAATGTAACTCTGCCAAATGATTTTAAATCTTCCGTAAGGAAGAGAGCCTACATGTTCTCTATGTTGGTCCAAACAGCAGAGTGAGGGCTAATGGAAAATGGCTTTAAGGAGCGAGGTAACTACTGAGGATAACTGAAACACGACTCTCTTAAATACCGCTTAGAGCTAGGCAATTTTGGGATCGACTATGTGAGCTCATAGGCTTCCTATCAACAGAGATATTCAAAGTGTCTCCACCAGTGACATCTCAGGAAAGATTCCCACACTGTGTAGAGGCTGAGTGGACACCTGGCTACTCTTGACTGAGTGGACATCCTGAGCTACTCTCAGTCAAATTCTTGAGAGAGAAAATTTTGACAGCCATGAGTAGTGGACAAATGTTACTTTTCATCATAAATAGCTTTTTTTTTTCTTTTGAGAGGTTTTGTTTGTTTGTTTGTTTGTTTGTTTGCTATAGGGTGCATGCGCTCGCCAGCCAGCCAGAGAGAGACAGAGAGACAGAAAGCAAGAAATCTCCCCCCAGAGGGGATGGCCATGCAGCAATACTTAGTCCTCCATTCTCCTCTTGGGATCTTGGGCACGCACATGTGCCCGGCGTGAGTTTAAGCCACCGGGTCCAGGACTTGAACCACAGTCGGCTACATGGGAGTCCAACGATACAGCCATTAAGCTAACAGCTGGTCCCCATAAGTAGCTTTTTAATATTCTGCCTTTACATTGAAACTATGGGTAAAGAAATTGTAACTTACCCAGAAATCCTCTCTCCACAGAAGAGCCTAATTTCAGGAAAGCAGCACAAAAATCAAGGAGCGTCGTCTTAGCCAGTATCTAGCTAAGCTGGACTGGCCAATAAAAAAGCAAATAAGGGTTTCAGTGTCTTGGTGATACATCCATTTCCTTTACATATTGAAATAATGGTGACTTCATTTTTTAGCCAGTTATATTGTGTTGTTGGAAAAAGTCATGATGTATTTTTCTATGAAAAACATGTCATGACTTTTCCAATGACCTAATATGCTTTCTTGAGATTGTCTGAAAAACATACTGGTTCTGCTTCTGCATGAGCTTGTTCTTTTTGATTAACAAGTAAATAAGAGAATCCAAAACAAATCTTACCATAGTAATAGAAGCACAAACACTTTCAGAAATGAATGTGCTTATGAATATTTTTGAGAGAGATTTTTGGCTTAACAGAAAGGCAGAGAGAAAGAAAGCAAGAAATCACCCCCCAGGAGTGATGGCTACACCACAATCCCTTCTCCTCCATTCTCCTCTTGGGATTTTGGACATGCACACACACTCACCCAGTATGAATTTTAAGCCATCGAATCTGGGACTAAAACTGAGGTCGACCATATGGGAGTCCAGTGAAGTAACCATTACACCTTCTGATGGTCCCATACATTATACAATTTAATAAAAAATACTCTGAGTTGTGTTGTCTCTTATCAAACACTGGAAGATCATGGCAAGACAATTACTGATACCACTATTAGGTATAGCCACATTAAAAGAGTTACATATAAATAAAAATCTTAGATTTCTTTTACATCACGCTTTTATTATATTGGTATATTTATATTGCCAACTAATGTAAAGCAGACATTACAATTCTTTCTCTATCATGCACGTTTCTAAGGTATATACATGTAGTGACTTGTTTTTTTAGGCGTGGTCACTGTGCCATATATCTAAAGAACTGGGATCAGTGAGGTCAGAGTTCAAACAAAGTCACAGAATTCAGAGTGACAGAGATAAAGTCTACACCTCTGTCTGCTGCTCTCTCTTATCCTGTCCTCACACACTGCCATATTGCTGCTGATGGCAGCTCAGAGCTCAGGGGAGATGTAGAGTGCTGACAGGTGAAGGAATCCCACGGCATTGCTGGCCACGTTGCTGAGGGTAGGCCTGCTTTCCACGTCTTGGCATGATTTCCAGAGATACCAACAGCCTGTAAAGCAGGACTATCTCAGGTACATCGGAATGGGCAGTTGTCAGATCTGCCGGCTTTGCTGCTGTCCCCCCCCATGCTGTCAGAATCATCTGTACTTCAGAGCTTTGGTGGATAGAGATACAGAAAAGCTACTTGTTAGCACAGCAATTGTATTGGATAATCCAGTTTTATTAAAAAAATTTAAAAAGATTTCTCTTCTTTCCACCTTTGGGTAAGATTCTTCAAATTATTGTGTTTCTATACTAATGATTCTATAAATCATCCTAAAAAATCATCTTCAAGTTTAGTAGATGTTGTTAATACATTGATTTTTTTTTTTACGAATTTACATATTATGATTCTTCCTCCTTTCTTTAATGATCTTTAGTATTTTGGGAAAATCTCTGTTGTTGAAAAAAAAATTCTTTTGTCTTTAGTATATAGGAGGTTTCTGAAATTCTCGCCTTGCTCCAACCCTTATGGCTTAATTTTTTTAAAGGGTTCTATTCTCCTCATACTTAAATTCACAATTAGATTCTCAGTTTCAGTTTGGGCATCGTAGAATAGCAATATGGCAAATGTGAAAATAAAGTATAAAGAGAAATCACCATGGGAAAGAGCAGTAGCAATGGAAAGTACCCTGAAAAGAAGAATTCAAGTAAAATTCCAGTGGTATGGAGACTGTGGATGCTTTGGTGACCTCTTAACATCCATACCAGTTTAATCTATTTAAATTAACTTGAATTTAGATTTAAATGAACTAAAGTTAAATAAAAAGGAAAATTTAGTTCTTCAGTCAAACAGGTCACATTTCAAGCGCTGGATAGCCATATTTGTTTAGTGGCTACCACATTGAACAGAGCAGATATAGAGCATTTCCTTCATTGCCAAAAATTCCTCTGGGCACTGTTAACTGAACCCTGGTTTGATTCAGTAGTAACCCTCTCTTCAAAATGGTTAAAAGAGAGAATTTGAAATGTTCTCACCAGAAAGCAGTGATAATATTTCGTGTAATAGGTATGCTAATTACTGATACCACTATTAGTAAATACCACATTATACCCCATAAATATTTATAATTTTTTTGTTAATTGAAAATGGAACTTAATAAAATAGCTCCCCTGCTCTTCACTGCCCAATTATTCAGTGGAAGCTGATCCCAAGGCTGTTCTCCAATTATGCGGCCAATGATAGTAATCTCATTTTTTTTCTTGGCAAGGACTAGTTGAAAAGTCCAGGCAAAGATTACCAGTGCTTGTCTTCCTCCTGTTGATAACTATTTGTCTAGTGGTGGTTAGGGACCTATGATAACCCAATCAGACTCTGAAGGAAAAGATTATTTTCTTTAAGATTATTGTCAGAGGGAATATACATTCACCAGAAAGAGGGAAAGTATCCCCAATGGGAGGTGGTCCAGTCTCATCTCTTCTTCCTTCATTTTTCTGTCCCATCAAGATTTTGGGCACATGCACATTTGTACCTAGAATGTGTTTCAAGCCGCCAGGCTGGGATTCTACTCATGGTCGGCCATGTGGGATCGGTTCCATATGCACAACACTTAAATGCCCTATTACAGGCCTCACCCAAGAAAAACTGTTTTACCCCTGATTGGGATGAATACTTTCCCTCTCTCCTAATGGATAAGAATAGGAGAACATTTTGTCCCTGTTCCTGATAGCAGCCAACTGTGACGATGAGGGAAGCTAGCCTGAGAACAGAGCTGACACTTAGAGAAGGACAGACCAAATGAGGGGCAGAGGAATAAAACAGGATTCCCTGCAGCATCAGGCCAGGAGCTAACCCCCTATTTCTAATTTCCCTGGAAGGGAGATAATAATAATGCTGCTGTTTTACATCCCCTTGAAACCAGGTCTTTCTCACTTGCAACTCAAAGCCCTTTGACTAATCCATCTGAATTCTTACTTTTCTCTGCAACACAATCCTATGACCTTGAATAACTCCTTCAACTTCTTGGGCCTTGACTTCTGAATGTGTAAAATGGCAGACAGAGGTCTCTAAGATCTCTTTTTACTTATGTGTTTTTAAGTTCATTTATTCCATGAAAGAAAGAGAAAGACAGCAAGGGAATAATGGAGTCAGGTATTCCTGTAAAGGTCCTCACACCACAGTCCACCCACTGTCTCCCCAAGGGGAGATTGGGATTAATTAAGGTCATCATCTTGGGGTCTCCAGGATTAAAGCCTGAAGGGCTTTTAAGGAGAGGGAATAAGCCAGATAGACTTGGACACAGACGAACACTCTTGTGCCCTTAGACAAGTAGTGATGCAGCCAGAAGAGCCCCCCACACCACACCAGATTCAAACACTAGACATGGAACTTCCAAACTGTGAGCTGAAAAAAATCTCTCTTTTCTTAAATTACCCAGACTAAGTTACTTTTTCTTATTAGCAATAGAACAAACTAGAACAATTATGCTTTGTGTTTGGTGTTTCCTTCACAATCACAAGATCTTTGACTATTCATTTGCTACGTATCCCAATGGCCAGGACAGGCATATATATAGTACGTGCTCAGTAAACATCCCTGGTGAGTAAGAGAACATATCTTTGCATCTTTGGAACCTGCTATAATTCCTGGAAATATTAAGTACTCAAATAAATATTTTATATTACCCGACTTCTCTTAACATTCATAACATAATAAGCTAACATTATAGCAGGCAGTGGAGTGGGTTTAAGGTCACTGGGTCTTACATGGCCAACTGTGCAGTTCAAGTCCCCTGTCTGGTTGCTTGAAAAATGCACCAGGCACATCTAAGCGTGTGCCCAAAA